TATGGAACCCAAAACGGACACTTTTTCTCCCGAACACCGCTGAAACCGCCGACCTCCATTCTTTGTCATCCGGCATACGAACACCGGTCCGTTCGAATGGACTTAACCCATATAGCCAGGCCTGAGCCACTGTGATTGGCTAATGTACCATACTTGTCCCAGTCTTCCATCTGGTCCCCTAGGGGAGTGTCCACCAGGTGGGAGATCGGGCATGTAGCCCTCAATAAATCAGATTCCTGTTTTACCCTCAAGACGGAGCTTGGTCTCGTGTTTGGGGGGATTGCTACTTTGGACTATTCTTTTGCCTGTTCCAGGAGAGGAGTTCACATGATTCTGCGTTCGGGAGTTTGGAGCATTCCCTTGTATTCAGTTCGGGAGTTTGGCGGTCTACAGTAACTGTGCCTGTGTCTCTAAAAGGGGGAAGATCTACTAAACGGCGGTTTCACTCCTTTATGCCGGGAGTGTCTTAACAACTGGTGGCAAGCGACGGGATGATTTTCATCGCCCAGAGAGACAACTACACATTCGGAACTAATGGAATTTGTAACGGCACCCCCAGGCATAAAAGGAGTTAAAAGCCGTTTAGTAGATCTTCCCTTCCAGAGACACAGGCACAGCTACTGCAGAACACCAAACTCTCGAACTGAATAGAAGGGAATGCTCCAAACTCCCGAACTGCATACAAGGGAATGCTCCAAACTCCCGAACTGTATACAAGGGAATGTTTCAAACTCCCGAACTGCATACAAAGTAGCACTCCAAACTCCCGATCTGGAACCTCACGAATAGCTGCTAGACGAACAGGAAAAGCACCCAAGCGGCTTACACTCCTGGCAATCAGTCTCTAACAGCATACAGTAAATCCCCCCAAAGACGAGAGAGAGCTCTGTGTTGAGGGTCAAGTGGTGCTTTGGTTTATTGAGGGCTACCTGCCCAGTATTTATGCAGGTCTCCCAGCTGGTGGACACTCCCCTAGGGGACCAAATGGGAGACTGTGACAAGGGACAGACATGAATCAGACACACAGAGGTAAAACATCCCTACAATGCATCCTAATTTCCCTCCCTCTGTCCTGGAGATAATTGGGAAGTAATCCAATTATCTCCCAGGACAGAGGCAAAATCCATTAACCATATGGCCGTAAAAGACAGTAAAAGACATAAAAATTTATAAAGTTACAACTGTTGCACAAAACATACATTCTACCTATCCCCAGATAGCTTAGATCTGAGCGCACATTATTACCGGATGGCGCTCAGATCACATACAGCCAAAGTCTTTCCCATAGTCTTTCGTTACACGAATAGGCTCCATGGCATGGCTATCTGGGGTAATGCTGTTCATACGGTTAAATAACCGAATGCAGACGCAAGGAGGCTGACGGCTCAGCTGTGTTCGCGTAAATAAGTGTCCGTTTCCAGTTCCATAGTTTGGGCGCTGAACACCGCTGGCTGTTCGGGACTTTAAAATGCCCGCCACTACGTGTTCGGCAAACGAAAAAAGGCCACCCAGCATTCGTCAACCGCATGTGAGGAACTGACTCTGCTGGGTTTTGAACCCTGGCTTACATGGTGCTAAACCTCTTCCTTACCAGTACACCAGCCTGCCTTTTGTAAAATTTACCTGAGATCTGATACCATTGCTTGTAGAGTCAAGGTTATCAGTGACAACTCTCTTCAGCTGTGTCTGGTCAGGTGTCTGGTTCTTGGCCTATAAAAGCCACTTCCTGTCTCTGTACCTTTGCCAGATTATTGTGGTTCCTGTACTCTCTCATCCAGCGTGTTCCTGTTTCTCCTTCCTGTTGCTGAATTTGGACTGTTTTGACTTTGCTGCTTCTCCTTCCCACTGACCTCGGCTTGCCTGACTACGATTATCATCTTTCTGTTCCAGTCTCCCATCTCTGCTTAAGACCAGAAGACCACTCAAGGCTCAGGGGCTCAACCACCTGGGTAACGAGTGGCTACCTCTGGCAGAAAACATTGCTGATCTGGCTACTGGACTCCAAAACTTTGTTACATCAATATCATTACAGAATAATCTGGTCCATTCATGGAGACCGTCGGATCAGATTCTGGAGTGCCTGATGAAGTAATTTCTGACAGGGGAGTGCAGTTTACATCTCATTTTTGGAAATATTTTTGTTCTATTCTAGGTATTAATGTAAATCTGTCTTCAGCTTTTCATCCACAAAGTAATGGACAGACTGAGCGAACCAACCAGACTTTAGAACAATATTTGCGGTGCTATATTAGTTACCTGCAGGATGATTGGCTGGATTTTCTACCCACGGCGGAGTTTGCCTATAACAATGCCCAACACTGCTCCACTTCTCTGAGCCCATTTTTTGCCAATTATGGTTACCATCCAACCTTTCTAGTGAGTCTCTGTGATGAAGTGCCCTTCGCCACTTGTGCCTGGAGAGGACTGCTTGCCCGCCTCTTGCCCTGTGACTATGGCCCCTGGTTTGTATTGCCCTTTAAAGACATGGTTTGGGCATAATGGATTTGTGCTGTGCTGCTGCTGGCCCTTTAAGAACCATCTGGGGACATACTGTGGAGTTACTGGGTGGCCACCATTTCCTGTATCAGAAGCACATGGTGAGAACAATGGATGGTGACCATTTTAACTCACAGACACTGTGTGGACTTTTCAACACGGTGCCATCTCGCCAGTATTTGTTGCACAAAGACATCGTGCGGTGGTTTTGGACTATACAGCAGGGGACACATTATACAGTGATTGTTTTTTATTTAGCCTGTATATGTTCGCAGAATCTGCATTAAACTTCGCATTTTTCCGTTACTGGTGGATCACCAGACGAATTTGGATATGTGGTTCACCCAGATCCTGGTTCAAGGATATACTTTTTATGGGGTTATTGCATGTTTTGGGGTCCCTGTGTGTTTTATGAAACTGTATTATATCTGGCCAACAGATAATTGAGCTTTGTGTATTGTAGCAACTCAATTATCTAGTCTGGCCCAGAGGAGGAGTTTTGTGTTGCATAAATTGTGAGTTCTGTGTGCCAGTAAATCAGTCTTGTTCCAGCATTAAGCCTTGGCTCATGTTTGGGAGATTGGAGAAATACACTCTGGGGATTGCTATAATCACTATACTCCCCAGGGTATGATCACTAAGCTCTGCTAAGAGCTTGTTCCTGTTTCTGCTCTCTGGGGAAAGAGAGGTTCACCCACTGGAAGCTGGATCCTGGCCTTGGGTCAGGGTGGGTGGAGACGGCGAGACCCCGGCGCAGCTGCATCACTGGAAGTGGGGTCTGCAGTGCTGAT